CTCGGTGCTCTTCCTCCAGTCATCCAGACGTTTAGCCACTAGATGGGGATCCAGGATAAGGAACCGGTTAGACTATGTTTAGGTGTGAATAACAAGTTACCAATGTCTTGTGCGTGCCTTTGTTGGACTACAATCCCACAATGCAACGCAGCTCGAGGAGCTTTGGCACAGCTGTAAAATATTAACTAATTGTGGACAGCTGGCGTGGCAACTCCGAGTAGACGAAACAAAACAAAATTAACTTTTGGGGGCGTATTTTATTGTTATTAAGTTTCCAAAGCTGGCATCTTTTCAAAGTTCTTTGGCACAAAACGGTAAAGTGGTTGTATTTATGTCTTGCACACAATGCTTGTCCATACCTTTGGCCCAGGTAAATATGTAGGTTAATGCTAGTCTGATATAGGATACACTCAAAATGCACCAAGCGGTTGAAATCATACTCGGACATTAAGTCTGGTGGAGTTTCCAGGCGTAGACACCTACACTTTGAGCCACAGCTATCCACGGACTGTGAAACGGGTTGAAGTAAACTGTGTGGCTGCACATAAACAGTGCTGCCACTGCTGCGAAGGTCTGAAATGATATTGCACAATTGCAAAACTGACATTGTCCCATAATGTAAATGTGGCTTTTCATCAACATATGTCCCGTTCCCTTGCATTGCCTCTCATTCCACTGTAGCCTCAAGAAAATACTTCACTTTTTGCCAACTTGAAAATAAAGCCCATGGTGTTGTCTAAAGACACCCAAGTAGCAGTTATTAACTGGACAGAGAACTTATTTTGATTACTTGCATTGTTTGCTAAATTAACTTTATCCAAAGGACTAATTACATGGTATATATCACTACATATACCCATACAAGTGTACAAATATGATGTATTTACTAGACAAATTGTAGAAGTGCAGGAGTGTGTGTTCTCCTAAAGATGGCGACATATTCCCAATCCAGCCCTGCTCTTTGAATGTCCTTTGTGAGTAGCTGCTTACTGTATTTATCCTAGTGTTAGATTGTGGTTTCTGAATATGTGTTGTTGGATTGTATGAGTTTCACTGCATATAAAGCAACCAAGTTCCAGTCTGCTGTGAACAAATAGGTATTACTTAGCTGTATGTGACAGACTGTCTGCTTTTCATATTGAAGTGTTATCAGATGTTAACTGTCCCTGATCATAAATGGTTAATATACTGCATGTCCCTTCAATTCACAGAGTGAGGAATATGGCTGAGCACTGGTGTGCTGTGTTTGAAAAACCACCAGCACCTGACTGAGTCCATAAGTATAATGTCTGACTGGGGATCTAACACGCTGTGGGCAAGGATGGGCAAACATTGG